CCCCCCCCCCCCCCCCCCCGCCCCCCGTGGTTGTGTGTTAGAATAAAAGTAAAATCCCTATTTGGAAGGAAGAAAAATAATTACTTTTTAAGAAGTTTTTGGAACAAATGTAGATTTTTAAAATGCAACATGAAATAGGAGGAGACTTCATATACTTGTTCTTGCAAGTCTGTCTATGTTTTTAAAGTTTACCTTCAGTACCTGTGTCCCTCGTATGAAGGCATTTAATGTATTTAATGAATATTGTTAGTTTCAGATTCAGGTTCTAGAGCAAAATACTTAGTTTCAGTGCTGAGTAGGTTAAATGTTATGGTTTGATTATCACACTTTTTTTTATTTGTGTGGAAAACTTGAGATGAAACCATCCTTTTGAAGTCATCTATTATTGTATACTTTTAAAAACAAGGTTTTATTGGTAAACTCAAAAGTATTCATTTATTCCCGTTTCTCCTCAGATAACTTCAAGTGATGTACGAAAAGGTTTGGAGTTCATTTTTGTGGAAAGACTTTAAATTGGTGTTAGAACCACTAAATGTCTTCAAATGGTACTATGAGAAAAAAAAATTTTCATAAATATTCAACTGTAACTGCTATTTTCTGACTAAAATAATAACCATCTAACCACTTGTTTTAAGGCACTGCCTATTCCAGCACTTTCAAGTTGCTCTGACATTATGTATTGACCTTATGCATTTGGTCTACTGTTTCTACAAAAATGTTGCAAATTTTGTTTTCCAAACAATTTGTTGATTAAAATGATCAACAACCTGAAGAAAATGTCAATTTTTAATTGACAAAGACTTATTGTAGTTTTGTTTCACTTTATTTGGTGAAATTTTCATCTAGATTGTACAGATATATGATTTTCTAGTGAGTGTATGTTAGGAACAAAAGACAAGTTAGTATCAACATTTTGTAAATATTTAGCCTACTAAATTTTTGTAAATATTTTTACATCCATTTATTTCTAACTTGTTCTCAGCACTTAAGTGTTTAAAAGTTTTATTCTAAAATATATAATACAGGAAAAATTCCAGGTCATTTTCACGCATAGATCATTACATTTTTCATTTGTAAACATCTGAGGTTTTTATGAAAATTAAACATTCCCCTATTTTTCTTTAAATTTTATACAAAGCACTTTAATGATAGAGGCAACCTTATTTTTCAGTTTCTCTGTTTTTAAAAAAAAGACCACACATTAACTAATGTTAATATGAAGGTAGTAAATAGCTTACTGATATTTTATGGATAGAGACAATCCATGCACAACCACTTCTTAGGATACTAGTTTATTTCTTTAAATATTGCTAAAAAAAGAAGTTGGGGATTTAAACCCTGATTTTTTTCCTCCCAAGAAAAATCTTAAATGACCACTTTAGATAATATTTAATTCCTACTGTAAAATTTAGAAGAATAATGAATTCTTGTCCACTTTTGTAATCAAGATTTTAGGAAAAACAGAAGTATATCTATTCTTATGAAATTTTGGGCAGGTTTTTGTGTATCAATATTTTGTACTTTTTAGGGAGAATTTTATTTTTTAGTAATTTGTGTCAAATTATAATTTTAAAAGGTACAGCGAAAATATACCATGTTTTTATATAGGTTCACATCTGTACTTAGGGGGACCCTGTCCATCTATATATTTTTTGTATAAAATTTTTAAATGTTGAAGAACCACAAGGTCATAATAAAATGCTTCTATAGCTAGAAAAACATTTACCCTTCTGAGTGCTTTGCACTAAAATATACTGTGAAAGGAAACTAGAAAGACTGTAACTGTTGCTGGAAATGTTCTATATTGAATGTACATGCTCTTGTTGGAAAAATGTACTATATGTGATGGAAATAAACCAGACTCAAAGTTATTTCAGCTAAATGTGCTTCAGCAAAGGTGCATTGGTTGAAACTTAAATGTTTTATTATCAAATTTAAACTTATTCAGTGACTATGAGCAGCTACACTTGACTTATATCCTGATAGTTTTAGTTTTAAGAAATATACTAATAATTTCTCTTTAATTTAAAAACAGATTTACTTTTCCACATATGGAAAATCTTTACTTATAGGTCTAACTTTAATGACTAACAGCATAATATATTTAGGGAACTCAATGTGTAGGTGGTATTTCATTTATAAACCATCTTCATTAGTTGCACATTATTAAACCTGTATTTTTGACTTTCGTAAGGTGTTATCTTTTATGAATTTCTACACACAAGACATATTCCAAAGATATTTTCTAGGCTTAAGTACCTATCAGCAATGAAAAGATGTGAGGATTCCTAAAATGCTTGGGGTAGCTCATTATTGCATCCTCTCATCTGCATGTTAGCCTTTTCCTCTCCTTTACTTGTTAAATACTGTAAGTAAGAAAGAAAAATAGCCTGATGCTGGAGGAGAGGAGCCCAATTATTGGAATTCTCTTAGCCCGCCCACCTGTTTTCATAGGACCATTCACAGTGTATCTCCTCCATTGTAATTCTGGGGACACAGAACAGAAATTTGGAAGGAGGCAACAAGGATTCCAGGGACTGTCTAAAGATTTCATTTGGGTCATGTAGAGAAAATAGAACTGTGTCAGGACTTACCTATATTATAAGGGCCTACAGAGATTGGGAACATTTTCTTATAATTGCTGAATTAATGGATCATGACAGAGTTAGATGCTAAACTGGGATCAGTTTAGAAGGGGAGAGCAAACAAGTAAGAAATGATTAGAGAGTATTTGTTCTTCCTATTCCTTTCTGGTCTTCATCCTTGCTTCTTGGTTTTATTTGGACTCTTGAGCTCTGTCATTTCAGGGGCTCAAGCTTGAGGCATTTGAGAAGTGGCCTAAGAAGTTTGTGCCAGAAACTTCTTCATGTAGGCTATGTAAACAGATGTTTGTATCACTTTTTGTTGTTGTAGTGAGTAGTATTAAAGAAGAGGATTAGCCATCAGAAACTGCTTATTTTATATTGAGACCTATCTCTGGCTATAAATTCTATCTTTGCTGCTGTTTAATCAGTTAAGAGTTTTCCTATAGAATTCAATTTATCTTTCTTCTTAAAGATACCTTCCATCCTGAATGTGGTGGAAGAGGAGAAGCAACAGGTATAGTTTGCACTTCAGCTTCATAAGTTTAGAAGTGCAAGTGAGAGTTGGATGAGGTATGCTTGACATTGGGCAGGTGTATATTAGAATATGCTGATATACCTTGAATGTACAGTAACCTTTTTTTTTTTTTGGTTTCATGCATCTATTTTTTTCCTGTTTACTCCTTTAGGAAGAAAACCTTTGAAGAATGTAGAAATTACCCATCCTTAATTTTTAGCTTAGTTTTGTATATATGAGCTAAGTTTTTGGTTGACACTGCTTTTATTATTGAAAAGTCAGTTCACATTTTTTAGGAAAGTGTATTTGTTATATTGGTTTATGGTCAACAGGCTGTTCTACTCAGTTTGCTTTGAAGAGCGTATCGATGCAGTAGCAGGGAGTTTTGTGGTTTTGCTGTGACTTGAAGCTGAGAGTATAGGAAGAGGAGTTTCTCTATAGGTGTTAATGGCAAAATATATGGAGATATGCACAAGCGGATATCATTCTCTGCTTTAAAGTTGCGGAAGATCTTGTCAAATAGTGTGACCACTGCAAATGAGATAGACAGCTTCTAAAATTTTAGAAATTTAGGTTCCCAGGTTTTCTGCAGTGGCCCATGGAAGTATTCTAGATCCTTAGTTTGGAGTTGTAGAAGTTACTTTTCTAATGGAATCTGTAGACTACCGGGATTATGATTTAGCTACGGCTAAATCAACTATAAGTTGATCTGAAGCCAAGCTCTAAGATATGTGCAGCATGTTGTCTGCACTGTTAGACAAAATCCTGCTGTACTCTATGTTATTCTTTTCCCCCTCTCTGACTTTAAGAGCCAAAGGGAACCTTGGGAATGAAAAGGAACAAAGATCAGCAATCTTAGGAACAGCTGTTAGTTGTTTGGTTTCTAAGGCATTAGGCACGTGGTAGAATGCAGAATAAAGATACGTTTCACTTGAACTTTCCTGCAAATATTTTGGCTTTTCTAACTCTCCAAATTCATTCTTCCTCATAATTTGTTTCTGAACCCTTTCCTCTGAGCTTCCAGCTCTTATCTTGCCTTTTTCTCTTCTGGTTAATTAACAGAGATCATTAGTACCAAGATAGCTAAAATGTTTCTTGGGAAGGTAAGAGTGTGGAAAGTGCAGCTTATTTCCTCCTGAATCTTTATAGCTCTACACTGTATTTGGGAGGCTTATTATTTTCAATCTGCTCCTTCCACGAGTACATATTTTCGCTGCTACAATACCACAAAAATAGGGGGACTTAG